CAGTCCACTGCGGAGCCTGTCCATTCACAGGATGCGTGACAGATGACTGGCCCCACCCACAATGACCCACCAGAGCGGACAGCTGAGCAGTTAGTGGCCACCATACCCCATGACGCAATTCATGGCAGGGCTACAGGAGGTCAGGGTGTAACTGCCTTCCATTTCAGGAGAAAAGTTCAAGGTCCTGTAAACGTGTCCATTTTGACATGACCAATATAAGAAGAGCAAATACAGGCAAAAAATCACGTGTGTGCCGCCAGTCACAGAGAACTTCTAAGTACACTGATTTCTACCTGACTGTGAGATAGCGTTCCCATTTTCCAGATGAGAAGAGCAAGGCTCGGAGAGATTAAATGATTATTCAGATGTGTCAAAGGCATCAAGGGCAGACTTAGGACCCAGTGCTTGCTGTTGCTCGGTTTTGGTTTGGGGTTTCTTCTTTTTTAAAGATTTTATTTATTTACTTGACAGACAGAGATCAGAAGTAGGCAGAGAGACAAGTAGAGAGGGGGAAGCAGGCTCCCCAAGGAGCAGAGAGTCCGATGCGGGGCTTGATCCCAGGACTCTGGGATCACAACCGGAGCCAAAGGCAGAGGCTTTAACCCACTGAGCCACCCATGTGCCCCATGGTTTTGGGTTTTTAAAAACATCACCCCCAAAGGTCCTCATAGGGAAGAGGCTAGTAACAGGTTTAACTTGTTAGCGCTTAATGCCAGATAAGGGAAAAGCAAGCAAGCAAGCAAACAAAAACCTTAATGCTATTTGAACACCCTTTTACAAAACCAAGGAATGTTTTCCTTGAGCAATGGCCATTACCCTCTTCCTGCTCTGATTATCCTGGGCCCTGAGGGGATCTGCACTCTTTAAGGGTTTCCCAGGACCCTACACGGTGCTGGTGACGTTTGTAGTAGTAGGAGGTTGGGGCTTCAGAAAGGGGCCTGACTCAGGTTCAAGAGCATTAGGCCCTGGAAAGTTAGCTTTGCAGGGGACAGAGCCCAGCAGGTCAGCAGACTCGTGGGTAACCCCAGGCCAGTCACTGATAGACGCAGTCCTTGAGCACTTATCCGGGAGGACAGCAGGGAACCCATTACAGAAGGAGGCAGGAGAAATACACGGGAGCGGAGTGACATCAAGAAACAGGCCTCCTTTCCCAAAGGGTTGTTAGGATGGCTGAAATGCTCAGGAGCCACGGGAGGGGCACTGAGACAGCGCGGTGTGGACAGCAGTCCCTGAAAGGGAAGAAGTGAACAGCAGGCTCGGTAAGATCACCCTCCCCGGTCACTGGGGCATTGGTGGCCAAATCCCAGGCCTGACTTTCTAAATAGATGACTTTCACCCCCAAATCGGCAACTCCCTGCTTTTGAACACAATTTCCCGTGGGTGGTGACGGGGACCCCAAAACAGTAGCTCTGGGCTCGCTCCCTGACTCAACGGCCTTCTCCAGGACGAGGGTCATCAGAGACTTGGCACAAACCCTCCATAATGGGGACAATGACATTGTCTGAGCACAGGCTACAAGGGTAAGCAGCTGCTCCACTGAGTCACTGAGCACACAGGCAGGCAGCAACCGGGTCCCTCTGACCCGCAAATGCCCTTGCAAGTCGCAGTGAATGACAGTCCCTCTGGGAGCAGGGGACCACACACGTACATCTGGTCTTCTCAGGTGGTCATGCCCTGAAGTGTGCTAAGACATTAGACTAAAATGCAGATGTCAGAAGGGAAACTGACCATCTTGAAAAATTCAGAATTAAAGCTCCGTGTGAAAAGAGAAATTATTTTGGAATGCAAAAAAAATGTACCCCAAGGTATCCATTGTATGTATCCAGGCTTTTGTGAATTATATGTTCTTGGGATGATGCACCCTTTGTTCTCTTAATTGTAAAATAAATGTTGGAGTTTTCTTTTTTCAAAAGACATTCTTTGATGTCTTCTAATTATGAACCACTGGAGGTGGGGACTGAGTCATAGGTGCTAAGAGGTATTATGGTCATTGACTAGATGACACAGGAAAGGGAACAGTGCTGACCTCGCCCACAATATGTTTGTAGGACGATGTGTGTGCACATATGTGTATATGTGAGTGTGTGCCTACGTGTGAGCATATTGTGTTATACGTGTGTCTGTGTGCTTGTGCATATGTGTGTGACAGCACGCTTGTGACCCCGTTATATGTGAACATGTTTGTGTGTGTGTGTGTGTGTGACTGTGTGTCTGTGTGTATGTCCCTGAGTGTGTGTGTGTCTATCTTTCTGTCTGGGGGGGACTTGGGCATACATTCAATGCCTGGGGACGGACCTATGGATCAGAAATTACCTCTTGAGACCTCTGGTCTCTAGAATTCCTTTCCTGGGCTGAATTCCCTCATTCCATCCCCAATCCCTGGGCAGTAGCCAGGCAGTGTAACTTTGCGACGCTCCCATATCCTTTCCAGCTTACACGTGGAAATTCTGTGCTCAGAAGAAAAGCTGATTTTTTTTTTTCCTAATTGTAGGGCCTCTTGGGCAAGAGAACTTCTCAGTCAGCCTCCAGGTGGGGATTCATTCACTGAATGTCCATATTTGCAAGAATGTTTTGAATGAAACATACAGTATGTTTCAAGACCAAACACATTTTGTTTCAAGACCCACACTGTAATAAAGACTTGAAGCCAGAGAACAGTTCTAGAATATTTCTTGCCTTCCCTAAAGGAATATAGCCTTTTAGTGGCAGGTGAACTGGATGTGGGAATGGGACCCCGGAGTGGGTGGGTGGAATGGCTAGGGACCACCCATTTTCCTACAACCACACTGAAAACTGGAACAGTCTGAGGACCTCTACTGTAGCCACCCGGACAAGAACAGGTCACACAAGGATAGGTCTTTTCTGATCTCTTCAAGTCTCTGTTAAATGTCTTAGTGGCTCACAATTCAAATACAGATTATTTCTAATTCAATTACCAATAATCTCTGCTTCGACATTATTCTCATTATTTTAAAGGAAGCCATTTCTGTTCATTTTATTCCTTTAAGTGTGAGTGAGGAAGGTAAAGTGGGGAAAAAAAAGATTAAAGATCTTGGTTTCGTGTAAACATTTTTATGCATTTAATTTTTAAGGCACAAAGAGTTTATGTAGATCATATCACCATCTAAAAATACAAAGTTTGCACTAGTCACAAGTGGTATTCCGTTCATTGGCCACATGTAGATGTACCATTATATAACACTAGACTTGAAAATCTGACCCCAAAAGAGATATGAAACATGCATGATGGGGAATGCTAGACATGACCGCCAAAAACAGAAAGGATTAACAAAGAAAGCCGATGCTGGGTGGGCAGCCCCTGCATGAAACTGGAGCCTCTAGTAAGAAGGAATACAAAGTAGCCACCAGATTATGGACTTTGGTTCTCATACTAGACATTTGTCACTAAATCCCAGAAGAGTTGTTGTTAATGCATTTTATTACTTTTTTTTTTTTTAAAGATTTGCTTAACTCATTTTAGAGAAAGAGCACAGGCATGAGGGGCAAAGGGAGAAGGAGAGAGAATTTCAAGCAGACTCGAGGGGCGCCTGGGTGGCTCAGTGGTTAAAGCCTCTGCCTTCGGCTCAGGTCATGATCTCAGGGTCCTGGGATCGAGTCCCGCATCGGGCTCTCTGCTCAGCGGGGAGCCTGCCTCCTCCTCCTCTCTCTCTCTGCCTGCCTCTCTGCCTACTTGCGATCTGTTGTCAAATAAAAAAAAAAAAAAAAAACCTTCAAGCAGACTCGAGCCTGATGCAGGGCTCCATCTCCCCTGAGATCAGGACCAGAGAGGAAATCAGGAGTTGGATGCTCAACCCACTGAGCCGCCCAGGTGCCCTGCATCTTACTCTTTTCCAAATAAATCCAATAAATTCCTTTCCAAATAAATACCCATAGAGCAAATGCATATTTTTTTAATGAGCATTTAGCATCAACCACAGGCTACCACCAAATGGACAAGAGGGTTTCTATAAGATGTATGTAAATGTCAAAGGAGCGTAACCCCAAGAATGCTTGAGAATGCTCATACCCAGAGGGGTTGTGAGCATATCTACACAGCCTTCCACATTGTCTCCGTGCTTTCAGCTGGAGCCAGGCAGCCTAGCCCAGACACACTACAGAATGAGGCTGGCTGCAGGGCAAGGTGACAGGCAAGTCACAGACAAACCAGAAAACTCTCCAGCCTAGAGTTTCCACTTCCTCCCCAACCTGACTGGTTACCAGAACTGCACAAGAGTAGTCATCACGAATTCAGTCTCTCTGGAATTTCCCTGCCTAACCTTGAAATGACTCTGTAAAGGCCGGAGAAGCAATGAGAATGAGGCTAGCCCCACAGCCCCTCACCACCGAAGAAGTCCAGCTCTGGGTCTGAGGGCAGCCCTTAGAAAGAATCGAAGTGTGTTTGCTTCACATTTCACCATAGGGCAGGAGGGTCCTCCAATGGGCAGCTTGTGTTGAGTGGTCCCCATGAAGGCATGGCCTCATGAGAGGGGGCAGAGCAAGAGAAGGCATCCAAAAAGAAGTTGGAACAAACAACCATGGCATCACCAAAGTTGTGTCAAGGCAGAGAAGGGATCTCCCATAGCTCCCAGCCCCCGTGGTCCCTGCAGGTCCCTGTAGGTCCGTGAACGCCAACTCTCCACCTGTGAAACCTGATCGCAAGCATCCTCTAGCTCTGCAGGGTCAAATCTTTTTGGATCCTCTGTGGATGATCACCAAAGGCATCACCCTAAGGTCCCCTCACCAACTTCACAGGAATGGAGTTGTGTGCAGCAAACATCTGCAAGAGCTAAGGGAGGGAAGATGTTCACCGATAAGTTATCAGCAATTATTTAGGTGGGGTGAAATTTTAGGTGGTTTCTTTTTTCCCTTCCTTATATTCTCTGACATTGTTTTAAAATATTAAAATAGGCATGTAATCATATTGTGACTACAAAAACAGTATTTTTGTTCCAAAAAAAACAAAAACAAAAACAAAAAACCCTGCTACTTTAGAGGAGAAAAATAAGCTGCATATGACGATTAGGAAAACTACCAGAGACAGATGAATTTTTTTAAAAATTGGAGGAGGAATTGAACCCAAATCTAATTTGCTCTGAAACTTAAACTGCAAAACACATGCCCTAATATAATGGTTTACAGGGTCCGAGAGTGCCAAAGAAGTAAATTAAGAAGTCAACCGGACAAGGGGTGTGTGTCACAATATGTACTGGTATTATTCAGATACACAAGTGAGTTGACAAATCACAAGGCCATGTACCATTTAGCTATGATACAGTATTATTAAAATAGGGGCATCATGGTTATTGGAAGGAATACAAATGGTACACTCACAAAGAACACACTCGCATCACAGCCTAGCTCAAACAACTGAAAATAAGACGGAAAACACTCTGGCTTCACTTCATTCTTTTTGCAACATCTGAATATGCATGTTCAATCTCCTGGTCAGCTGGACACGTATTCGTGAACTCATCCCTAGCATAAGCATTGTTCAAGTATCTCCAGATGCCAGTCATTTCAGAAGGAAATTCAAAATCTCTGTATCTCTTGGCCACAATCTGAAAATCAAGAGGAAACAATCAGCAAAGGAAAAGCCCACTAATGTAGACAATTAGATCAGACAATCCACTCTTTTGCGGTGTGTAATATATTCTCTTTCTGGAGTCCTGATGTATACTTCCTACAGCCAGCCAGGCTACACCCAAATTACACTTTAACTTTGCAACAGGAAAGTCTATGAAAGCACTGGGCTCAAAAGAGTGGCTCCAGGGGCGCCTGGGTGGCTCTTAAGTCATAAGTCTGCCTTCAGCTCAGGTCATGATCCCAGGATCCTGGGATGGAGTCCTGCATTGGGCTCCCTGCTCAGTGGGGAGCCTGTTTCTCTCTCTCCTGCTCCCCCTGCTTGTGTTCCCTCTCTCACTGTTTCTCTTAAAAAAAAAAAAAAAAAAGAGTGGCTCCTACACACACGATCCCGCTCACCAGTTTATCCCAGATTGTCCTTGGGATCCGCCGGCATGAATTTAGTCTCTACTTTGTTGGAGATCTTGTCTTGCCAGCAGTTTGGGCTTTGTGAGTTCTGCTGTTATGTTATTTGGTGCCTAAAGATTCATGAGGCTCTTCAGTTCAGAATGTGCCAGATTTACTGTGAAGTGCTCTCTTTTTCTGCTTGTTGAGCCTTCCCTCCTGAAATCCCAGATATCTGTGTATGTTATTCCTACATATTTCCATTGTCCTATCACTAAAGAGATCATCTCAGGTTCAACAAAAGGACACAAATCTTATCCTCATGGAAATGGTGGCTGTGAGGACAGGGCAACTGAGAGTGAACATCATGAGAAACATTACAGTGTGAGATGTTTCCTCTGGCTGGAGGGGTGTTGTTGGGGAATTTGTCAGAAAGGAGAGTATATTCTGTTGGGCATTCTACCAGGTTCCTGGGATTTGGACTTTAACATATGAATTTGAGGAGATGCAATTCATCCCCTAACAGTGACCCAGGGCTACAAAGTTCAGTTCTGTTCTGTTGCCTCTTATTGCATTGGTTTCTGGGTTGTCTGGTTGAAGTGAACATGGGACAACACAAATTAGAAGATCTTTGGGACCTATTACTCAGATCTTGCAGGCCAGAAGTCATTGATGCAGCAAAATAAGACAATATATAACTGTCAGAAACCCTCCTAAATTGTTTAACATCTTTTACCTGAATTCAACCTTATTGCTATCAATGTTAAGATTCTGCTTTCCTTTTGTTTTGCAAGACAAATTTTAATTTTTTTTAAATTTAAAATTTTTTTAAATTTTAACATTTTTGAGCAAATTTATTAAGTGTATGCCTCCTATAGATATAATCTTCTTTTTATGGTACCTATTCTGAATTTAATATTTATATTGTTTTCTGTCTTTCTGTGTATACTAATGTATGTGTGTTTGTGTGTTTCTTTCTGGTCACTTGGAAGCTTATGGTCTATTTTAACTTTTCTCATGGTTTTCAGTATAACCTTAAATAATAGAGATTCTCTATTTCTTGATCTGTCAAGTTTAGATGATATCTATTTACTCCTGATTATGACAAATAAGGAAATTAGTACAACTCTGCACTTTTTTTCCATTTCTTCTCCCTTATCCCCCTTCCACTGGTTGCAAAAAACATCCAAGTTTACCATGTTCTGATTCTGTTCTTTAACTATAATTCCCAACATTGTTTAGTCTTCTGATTCTGTTCTTTAACTATAATTCCCAACATTGTTTAGTCTTTAGTTCTGTCTTTAGATTTAAATAGGTTCTATGTTTATCACTAGCCTTTTATGCCACACACCGTCTCTATTCCTGGATTCTTATTTTGATGAACATTTTATTATTTCATCACAGGAAAGTTTTATTTTTTTTTTTAATAATTTTATTTTTTATAAACATATATATATATATATTTTTCCCCCCAGGGGTACAGGTCTGTGAATCTCCACGTTTACAAACTTCACAGCACTCACCATAGCACATACCCTACCCAATGTCCATAACCCCCCCCCAACCCCCCTCTGCCCAGCGGAAAGTTTTATTTTTAAAAAATGGCTCAGGAGCACTTATTTTATTAAGATTAGAAATCCAGGTAAAAACGACAATTTACCTGGATATGAATTCTTACATCATACAATCTTTCCTTTGATTCTCTATAACTATTAAACCGCCATTTTCTGGTTTTTTTAAAAGATTTACTTATTTATTTTAGAGAGAGCATGTGCAGTGAGGGAGGAGGAACAGGGAGAGAGAGAATCTCCAGCATACTCCCCACTGAGCATGGAGCCCGAAGCAGGGCACGATCCCACCACCCATGAGATTGTCACCTGAGCCAAGATCAAGAGTACGCTCAACTGACTGAGCCACCCAGGTGCCCCAGTTTTCTGGGTTTTAATGTGGTCATGGAGATGCATGAGACCAGTCTGAATTTCTTCCCTCTATAGGTGGCTTTACTGTTTTTTATTATTATTATTAATTATTATTATTATTATTATTAATTCTCTTATTGTCCGGACACCCAAAGTGTTCTTTTGATCCTCAAAGTTCAGTAATTTATCATTTATCACGTATATCATAGTGTGTTGATTGTTCTGGATTTTACTTTTCCGGTCATGGCATGTTGTTTATACTGAAGGTTCAGATCATCCTTTAGTTCAAAATAATTTTCCCTCCTTCTCTTCCTTTCTTTTTTCTCTCCTGTTCTCTGGTTCTTAACTATGTACATCCAGGAAATCTCTAATCACTTTTATCCCTTGCTGCTTCTCCACTTAATTTTGGATGATGTCTCAGGCCTGTCCTCCAGGTCCCTGATGAATTTTTGCAATGTCTTTTTCTATGTCTTGCTATGTGTAATGTAACTTTTATTTTTGAAATTATTAAACTTGTCTTTAAGTTTTTGTCTTGAGTTCCACCAGCCTGATTTTCCTCTTCCTTGTGATGTTATAGTTTTTTGATATCTTCTTCATCTCTGAGCTTTTTCTCAAAAGATCCATGTTCTCTTTCATGTCTTGAAGGTCACAGAGAAGAATCTGACTAGAATGTATTTTCATTTACTGGAGCAATTCCTCATCAGATAGGTGTTTCTCATCTGCCCTTTCCATTTCAGATCCTTCTCTTTCTCCTTTTTCCCCGGTCCTTCTTGATCATCTCTATCCTCACAGAAGTCCTACTTAGGTTCTTAATGGTTATTAATCATCTTTTAATGAGGCAGATCTATTGGACTTAACACTTTTTAAAAGCAGTATGGAGGGCAAAGGCAGTGATTCACAGCAGCTGGGAGACCAATGTGGATGTCTACCCTCATAAACTCTCTCACCAAACATGCTCTATACTCCACCCCACAGACACATTAGGAGTAGGGTCAGGGTCAGGGTCAGAATCAAGATTGAGGTTAGAGCATCCTCCACTCTGAGACTCAAAGATTAGGCAGGAGGTCACCATGGCTAAAAATGAAGCCCAAGCAACTTACAGTCTCTCTCTTGACTAGTTCAAGGATTATTTCTGTTCTCTACACAGCAGCTACAAAGCAGAATGCCACATCCCTTCTTACCACCTCCCCTCCCCGTTCCTTCAGATTAGGGGACCAGTGGCAGAATACAAAGATAGCACCTCTGCATGCTTTCTGCTTCAGCTCTCCCTCCCCAGAGACCTCAGCCCACAAGTAATCTGTGTGGGGCTGTTCCCTTATTCTCCTCTCATGGCCCTAGTCCTCAAAGAAGTTTGGGTTGGGCATTTCAGGACTGTACTATTTACTTTTGGAGAAATCTGAACTTTGCTAAAGATACAGGGAAGGCTGCACTGGCTCTGTGACACCTCACACCGGACAAAGTTTCTTAGTCTTTGAATTAGCGTTCTGTCCTTTTCTGATTTTATGACAGATGAAGCTTTACTCTGTTTTTTTTTTTTTCATGTTATTTTTGCTGGATTTCAGGAAAAAGAATAGATTATAAATTCCTTTACTCTCTCATCTTTTACCATAAATTCCTTTATACCCAGTCTCATTTCCCTTCCGAAGTTGCTCCATCCTGAAAGATTATGAAGCTGTTTGGTATTTTGAATGCTCAATGGCTTTGAAGAATTTGCTCTATGGTCTTACACTGGAGCGAGGAACTTCTTTATTTTACTCTGAAGTTTACCCCATCTACTGAAATTTAAAATACTCTTTTCCTATAGGAGCGAAACAAGTGGCAATTGATGGCACATGGCTGGGGCATTTCTCTTGCTCTTCCCCAACCTCCACGTACCTCTGCGATGTTACACTGGTCGAAGCAATGATGACAAAAACAACCACTGTGAGGGCTAAACCACACACAACCACATAAATAGCTTGTTGGAAAATGGCTCCCAAACGTAGGTTTTGATGAGTTGAGATGCTTATACTACATTTTAGGTGTTGGGGAACTGGCAAAGTTATTGAAAACAATATTCACTTAAGGGCTCAGACACATATTCAAGGCTTGAGTTTCAAGTTAGTATCCTTCAAGCACACCCGGGAAGACAGAAGAAGAGAAACGGGGCAAGGGTTAGGAACGGAATCAGGAAGGAAGAAGAAATGCAGAAGTGAAAGGCAAGGCAATGATGAAGAGCAGCGGGGGCTGCTGGTAGCCTGAGGAAGCCTCAGCAACACAGACAGATGAGCCTAATTTGTAAATTTCTAAAAGTCAATGACATGCCTTATTAGATCACAGGGTCCTCAATTTAACTCCCTCTGTCTTCTCGCTCATCTCCCTGTCCTTCTACCAAGGACTTGGGTTTGGACTGGGTGGGATTTTAATCATCAAGGTGCCCCAGAACAAGGTTTGGGCTTCTTCCTGGGGCTTCTGAGGCTCCTGAGGGCCAAAAATGTTGCAGTTGTGATGATGATAGCAGTTAACACCTGTAAGTGACCTGAAGGCTAGGGATACCACTGAGAGGCAGCCATAACTCCAGAGGCCACGTGTTGGGCCATCTACTTTGGAATCCCCCAGGATCACCCCCAGAAGTTCTGACTGAGGAGACCAGAGGCTGGATGGCAGGATTTACAATTCTAAAAAGCTCCCCAAATAATTCTTATACCTACTAATGCTGGAGAACCACTGGTCCAGGGAGCCTTTAAACCCTAAAATAAATGACACATGAAGCTGACTTCCTGTTCAACTATCTGGGAAGACACAATGCCAAATCTGGCAGAGGCCCAGCCAAGGAGCTGCTCCCTAGCTGTAGGGGGTAGATATTAAGAGCTGAGAAGACACACCTCTGTCATCCCTACGCAGAGCCATTTCCCCAGCTAATCACCAACAAGTGACTGAGTTCACACACACTGCAGTGTTCCCAGATTCGGCACATCGTCTCCAAGGCTCAAGCATTAAATGCCAGGTATAGTCAATGTTGCCCTCAAGCTGTCTTCATATAACTTTTCTTTAGGCTCTGGGGGTAAGACTTGGAACAAGAAGCAGTGAGGAGGGAGGGGTGGAAGCCAAGCTCCCAAATGTTTCTTGAGACCACCTGAAAAACCTGGGAATATACTTGTATCTGAGACTTAGGAGTCAACCACCTCAAACAGAAAAAAAGCAAATAAACAAATAAACAAGCAAAATACCTGACTTTTTAACTCAAGAGTCTGCATTTTAGATTGTTTTGATGTCTGGCCAAAATAAAACAAAGCTCTATTCGTGTATTCAGCACCTGTGATTGGAGGAACATCAAACCTTTATAATGTGGAGCTTGGGTAAGAGGTTACAGTCAGCTAATGTGAGCTCGTCCCCATCCAGGAACTTCCTTCCAGAAACAGCGATGTCCTCGGTACTGTAGGCATCAATTTCATCCGGCAGAGGGCTATTTAAGTAATTATCCAGCTTCTTCAGGGCCTTCAGCAGGTTCTTCTCATAAACTAGAACATAAAGGCAAAAAAAATTGTAAAAATTATTGTCACCTTTCTCTAGATATCAAGGAAGGAGTCAATCACCTTTCCCTCCTGACACACGGCTGGGCAGCACAGGGAACTGAAGGGAGGGATGTGGATTTCTAAGATCTGCATAAAGGACTCACTCCTCCTTGGAAAATAGTTCTGCTGTCTACACAACAATGATCCTTCTTGGACTCATCCACTTATTCAGAAATATTTATGGGAAGCCCATAATGAAATAAGCACCGGCAGGAGCATCCTTGAAACTGATTCTCATGGTGCAGCAGGGAATTCCTGGTGGGCATTCTTTTCCCCTCAAAATGTTTTTTTCTGGGCTCCCAACCTCGAGCTCCTGAAACCAACGTGCCGATTCAGTATTAGAGGCATTGTTCCTCCTTTCCAGATACAGGTCCCTACCCCCAGGGACATTAGTCAGAACCCCCAGGATCTTAGAAGCAGCCACACCAGAGGCTGTGCAAGGGGTCGTCCACATGGAGAACACTGAACAGGAAGACAACAGGTACTCACTCTCGTTCGCATCCTTCTTGGTGTTTTTTATAAATGCGGAGAATTTGGCAAACACATCATTCCCTGCAGAGTTAGATTCAGGGTGTTGGGTCCCCAGCTTAGGGTACCTTGAAAAATTCAGAATTGGAGCATCACAGATAAGCAATGTTTGATTTGGGTTCATGCAAGTGGTTGGGGGGGTGGGGGGAGGCAGACAAGTCTTTCTCTGAGTGGATATAAATGAGAACACTTCCCTCTGGAATGTTCTCCTAATCTTTTTATCTCCAAGTCTTGGAAGCAATAGTCTAGGGAGAAAGCACTTGCTGTTCTCGTCCTGGCACACCTTGGACCCTGCTGGTCTTAGCTCCCTTCCAAGTAAGATGAAGGTGGGACACTAGAAGGTTCTCTTCTGGGTCCAGCACTCTGCAACATTGCATGCTACCCTGCACGCCTTACCTTCCAGCAGTGGACCTAAGAAATGGCCGACCCATGCAACATCAACCCACCTCCTCCCCCACTTCCTGCCATTAAACCATGATTGCCAACCTGCAGGTGCAGAGCAGAGAGACCCAGGCCTACCGTCACTCAAGCCTTCTGATCTCGCTCGGTGTTTTCTGTGGCACACCGCAGTACAGCAAAGGAAATGAAGTACCGTGGCCACAGAAAACCAAATACACTGAAGCCAGGAGCTTACAAATTGTCTGTGAAGAGGGGGGAAAGTGACAATCGGGTTGTGAATGCTGGTTTTCGAGGCCTACCTCGGGGGAGCTAGTTTCTCCTCTAAGAACTCCTCGATCTTATTCACGTCCGTCTTGACTTCGCCATCAAAAGTCATAAAGGGAGGGTTTGTTCCAGGAGCCAGGTTTTGCAGGTCTGCGGGTTTCCTGGGGTGGGGGGAGGAGGGGTGCGGTAAGCACCAGCTTTTGTATAAACAGTTGCCAACCTGCAGACTCATTTCCAAAGCTCAGCCCAGTCCTCCCCAGTTTATGGGGGGCAACCCTTAAGAATGTCAACAGTGATCGTGGGTCTCCAAAATGTCCTACTGACAACAAAAGTGTGATGCTTATCTGGAGGCAGAGGTGAGAAAGCAAAATTGCCCCATTGTCATCGCAGGAGAGCTGCTCACACAGGCTTTTGAGAGGTTCTTGGCAGACCAGTAGCTAGAGGAGCGAGTTCCTTACGGTGCCCCCAACTCCTCCCGGATCACGTTGGATCCAGTCCTGTCGTTGCGTCAGAAGCCCAGACTCGGGCTTCCGTTCAGGATCCTGACCGAGGATGGATGGGCCACGATATTGCCCTTGGGTCCTAGGAGTGCGTGAGTGTGGAGTGTGTGTACGTGTGAGTGTGCCTGAGTTTTGAATGTGTGAGTGCGTGGTGTGTGCGTGTGTTATGTGAGTGTGGGGGGGTGCGAGTGCAGGTGAGAACGGGTGTGGGTGTGAATGGGTTTGCCAGGAGTAAAGTACAGTTCTTCCAGTAATGCAAAAGGCCCATCTTACCTCTTCAGGTCCACTGTTGTCACATTAAATATAACGCCCTTTAGCCAGAGAATCATAAAGAGGCGCTGGGAGAACGGGCAATTCCCAATACTCTCACCATCGTAACCAGCCTAAGTGGAAAAAGGAATCTTCATCAGAGCCGGTTTCACGGTGACAAATGCCAGATTCCACAACGCGCAGGCACAAAACCGTTACACATTTGTGTTAATGGTCATAACACTGTAAATACCCTTCCGGGGCCATTTCACGGAGCCGCTGAGCCCCGCCAGGGTGAGGGTGGGGGAAGCACAGGGATTGGCTGCACCGAGCATTTCCTCCTCCTTTCCCACCACTCACCACTTCCTGCCATGCTGGGCCTCTGCCCAGCCTGCACTCAGGGAGAGAGCAGCCCCTGGGAACTCCCTTTGTTACCAAAGGCCCACAAAAAAGACATGCTCTTTCCCTCCTCTGTCTCACGATAGTCTCCAGAAGCAGCACCCCTCTTTCCAGGAGGAGCAGGCTTAGAAACCCACCAGCAGGTTCTCCAACCGAGACACCAGCCCTCGTGGTCTCTGTGGTGCCCGTCTCCAGAATGAGAGGGGTGCATTGTACACGTTCTAGATCCCTGTACACTACCACACTTGGATAGCCCCTCATCTGACTCATGGGGCCGCTGAGAGATGGGGAGCATTTCTACTGAGAAGGGGGATTATTACACAGTTGGTGTTGAGAGGGGAGTGACTCCTCCCTGGTGACCCAAAGCAGGTTATATCCACACACACCTCCCCTAAACGTAGACACACTCATACTAAACACACTTCTCAAAGGCAGGTGATGGGGAAGGGGGGGAGGACTCCACATGCCCTTAGAAATGGAGCAGTAGGATCAAAGGCAATAAAGGAAGTTCCCAGATGCTTCTTTCTCCTGCCATCTTTCCCCCAAGCCTCAGGTCTCTGACAAGCTTGTGGCACAGTAAGATGCTGCTGGAAAGGCAAGAAGAGGGCTTGGACATGCTCTTCACATCTCCAGACGGCAAGCCCCACACCCAGCCAGACCTCAGTGACAGAAACACAGCCACAGTTAACCCTACCGCCTATGGTTAAGAGAAGCAGGACAGGACAGCACCGCATCTGTAACCTGCCTCACAAGACGAGACAGGAAGCGAGCTGCTTGCTGGGTTGGAAACTGAAGAAAGACCAAAACTGATGTCAAGAAAACAGGACCTTCAGAGAGATGGTTCCTTAAGTCACCTGAAGGGACTGGTTTTTGTCTTCTTTTTTCTCTTTCTTTCTTTCTTTTCTTTTTTTCCAGATTTTGTTTATTTATTTGACAGAGAAAGACACAGCAAGAGAGGGAACACAAGCAGAGGAGTGCGAGAGGGAGAAGCAGGCTTCCCGCCAAGCAGAGAGCCAGATGCAGGACTCGATCTGAGGACCCCAGGACCATGACCAGACCCAAAGGCAGATGTTTAGTGACTGAGCCACCCAGGCACCCCTGGAGGGGCCGTTAATAATAAGATGTCCTAATGTGCTATGGTGAGTGCTGCGAACTGTGTAGGACTGATGATTCATAGACCTGTACCCCTGAAACAAATAATACATTATATGTTAATATAAAGCCCACCAGAAAACAAACAAAAAAAGAAAATTAAAAAAAAAAGATGTCCTAGAAATAAAGAGCGCAAGAGACTTCCAGTTTTCAAAAGACTTGATCAGACTTTTTACAAAAGACACATCCAAATGGCCAACAAGCTCATGAAAATGTTCCTAACATCTGTAAGCAGGAGGGCAGTGCAAATTAAAGCCACAGAGAGATCCCACGGCACACCTCCCAGAACGGCTACAGTGAAAAGGTCTGACAGTACCAAGTGTTGACAAGAATGCAGAGCAACTGAACTGCCATTCGCTGCTGGTCAGAGGGCAAACGGCACAAGTACTCTGGAGAACTGTTTAGCAGTCATCTACCAAAGTTAAACATAAACTCTACGGCGAGATTAGGCTAAATAAATCAAGCAGAGAAAGTCAATTATCATATGGTTTCACTTATCTCTGGAACATAAGGAATAGCATGGAAGACCCAAGGAGAAGGAAGAGGAAAATGAAGGGAGGGGAAACAGGAGAACCATGAGAGACTATGGACTCCAAGAAACAAAATGAGGGGTTTGAGGAGAAAGGGGAGGGGGATGGGTGAGCCGGGTGGTAGGTATTAAGGAGGGCAGGAATCGCATGGAGCACTGGGTGTCATACGCAAACCATGAATCATGGAACACTGCATCAAAAACTAATGATGGCTAACATAATAAAATTAAACTTAAAAAATAATAAAAAATAAGCCTTACAACATGGTAATTCCATGCCTGACAAAAAGGAAATGCTGAGGAACACTAGAGACACTCATAGGAATGTTCTCAGTAGCTCTGGTACAATAGTCAAGACCAGGAAACAGCCCAGATATCATCAGGCATAGAACAAGGACATACACTGTAGTCCATTCATACAATAGGGCGCTACACCACAATGGGAAAAAAAAATTAGCTATTACTATAGGCAACAATGTGGATGAATCCCCAACAGCTGGTTGTTAAGAGAAAAAAAACACACTCATAGGAGTTCAGACACAGGCAAACTCCTCTGGTTCGTGAAAGTCCGAAGAACAGTGGTCCCTAGAAAGTCGGGTATTATCTGGGAAGAATGGGAAGGAGGCTTCTTGGTAGCAGAAATGTTCTAGATCTTGATCTCCATGGTGGCTACGCAGGTATATTCAAGTGGCAGGTCTTACGTTTGGGTTACTTTACTGCATGACTTACTTATAAATAAATAAATACATACATACATACATACATACATAAAATAAAAAAGTAAAACAATGAATTAAAACGTCATAGAGAGTTGGGTTCAGTAAGTTTTGCCTGGGGCCCAAGGATATGAATTTTTAACAAGCTCTTCCAAGGTGACACCATGCTGGTGGCGGGAGACCCATGAAGGTGGACTTCATGCACGTAAAGAGGCACCCACAGACTCAGAGGGCTGGGTTCAGAGTCCCGGAAGCTCCAGGCCATGGTCGCAGCACAGCCTACCCTCTCCAGCCCTCCAACCCTCCCTCCCCCAGGGGCAGGTGCTGGCCTGTCGACCCAGCAGGGGAAAAGGGCCTAAGGATTCCCCCAGCTGGAGTCTGAAGCTTCTGGGAGCTGGAGGGTTGGAGAGGAGAGGTGGACAGGCAGGACCCTCCACCCCACCGAGTGGGCAGTACAACTCCCTTGCAGATGGGCCCCGAAACAGCATCCTGCTTGGCCACCAGAAGCCATTCCCTGCCCCAGGATCCACCCCCTCCTGGCCATTCCGAAAGCTGCCCAGGCTCCTCCTCTCTCCCTTCCGGAGCATGAAGAGCAGAGCTGAGTTACATAAAACTCCAGGTGCCTGGCTGCAAGGACCCCTCTAAGTCCCGGTTCTTTCTTAACCGCGGCAGGTTGGGGCAGAATCGAGCCAAGAGGGGGGCGGGGCTCAGAAAGCGCAGGGACCGAAAGCCGCATACTTCGGCCAGTCCTGACTTGCTCGCCGCTTCCAAAGCTCTTATTTTTATAGTGGTGACACTAAGCACAGTCAAGTCTAAGGTTAAGTTCTGCGGAGTGGGGCAAGTGTTTCCGTTCTCCTTCCCCCTCGTCTCTGCAGCCTCGGGACCCCTGTCATAACTCCTTCCAAATGCGGCCAAATCCCGCGGAGCCCGTGCGGATCTGCCATCTCTGGGGTGGGGGTTAGGAGCCATACGTCCCCTCACAGTAAAACCTGCCTCGCCCCCCAGCTCTGTAGACACGGACACCGGGGAACAGGCTCCTTTCCGGAAGAGGGACGACCGGAGACAGGTGGCGGGAGGATGGCGCAGGGCGCCGCGCCCGGAGCTCGGAAGGCAGGGATGAAAGTCACGACTGCCCTCTGCACCACCCCCAAGTGGCCCCAAAGCAGCACCGTCGCGTGCCAGCGGCGCTAGCGGGCTGGGGACTGTCCGGCACTTTCCAGAGTGAGTCCGTCCTCCGGAAGGCGCCAGGCGCCAGGCTGCCAATAAGCTTTACATGCGCGATGTCGCCTCATCTTAAATGGCTCTGAACACACTTCCCTGTCTTGGTCCGCTGCACATGAGGGGGTCAGGGGAACACGTGGGGGAGGGGGCCGCCGAGGACGCCTTGCTGCCCAACTTGATTACTTTAATGTGTTTTCAGGGCTAGGACACGCCGGCAGAACCGAGGGCGGAGCGAGGCGCTCGGCTGCCCGGGATTGCGCAACACCCGGGAGGGGCCGGTCCAGGTCAGGTTCACGAAGCCCTGGAGATGATGGGATAAATACGCGGACAGCAGGAGTGACTAACTGACACCGTCGCCCTAATTGAGACGTTTTATGGTACCAGGTTTTATTTTCCGTTGCTGATAATTCTCCCGGGCTAATTACACCCTGGGCTAAAATTTCTCAGCGAAGCTTCTCAGCCCACGGGTGGGGGGGTGGGGGTTTTGTATGTGCACATTTCTGATAAAATCAGATGAAGCAGTTTAAGAGCGCCGAGTGTCTTGTTTCCAGTGAAGTCCCAGACGCTTGGATAATCCAGAATTGTGCTTTTCAGATTCAACAGTTCGGAGGGCCTGTGATGGTAATTCTCAAAAAGGAAAACAGGAATGCCTCTGACACGTTCCGAGACTTTCCTTTTGCCACAGCTGCGGACTTGAGAAGAAGCTGCCTTTCTGGCCTGCCCTCACCTCCCCCGCACAGGAGCCCCCCAGGCCCGAGGCAGAAGGGTCCCCATGTCACACCATAAAGGCTGGCAAACTAGAGTCTCTCCCACTTGCTCTTTGCATATTCGTGCCATTTAGAATCTGTGGGGGAAAAGAAAATTTTTTTTTTTTTTTCAAATTTCCTTTCACTGCTTTTTGCTTCAGGCAGACCACCTCTCCAGCTCTGTGCTGCGGTTACAGGGAAGGGGCACCTCCCACGCCCCAGGCTTCCACTAAAATGTTCCTACCCTGCCACTGCCTTTGAGGGACCAAGTGGACTCCTGGGACCCCAGTCCAGACCTGACACCGGGGTGACGACCCCCATCAAGTATTTTTGGCAGCTCCTCAGCACCCCTCCCTCTCCTTTCCTCCAGA